GGGCGGGGAGGGGGGCAAGCTTCCATTGGGTCACGCTTTGCCTCTGTACCTCTCCTCCCCCCGTACCCAAGTGCCTGGAGTCTGGGACAGAAAGGAATTAAGGGGAAAAGTTTGCTGTCAGTCCTGCGTGGGATGATCCCCAGCAGGACCTCGTCCAGGTGGCACGCAGAAGTCTTCCTCGCTATTCCTTGTGGAGGCACCACACCAAGGTCTGGCCCACGCCTGTCATGCTCACCACCCGGTAACCGCAGCTCTCCAGCTTGTTCAAGACTATCCGTGGGGCATCGTTCACGTAGTACTCCCAGCTGCAAGCAGGAAAGAGGAGGAGAAATAAAATGAGGTGGAGAAGGAAGAGACAGACAAGAATTTCCCTGGAAGTGACTCTGCCTCACTCCTAAACCGATACAAGATGCTGCAGTGGCCGCATCTGGCATGCTCTCGGTGTGATGTAATGTCTTGGTTGCCCAGACAGGGAAGGCCAAACCCCATGGCTACCAAACCAAGGAGGAAGCCTGTCCAAAAGCGAAGGGTCCTGTTAAACTGAAACGTGGCTCAGGGACCGGTTGGCCAAAGCCAGGTGCTGCTCGGTTAACTGGGCTGGGACTGCAGCAGAGAGGGTTTGCCAGTATTCATGGCTGGGAATTCATGGAAAAAAGGATAATCCAGAGTGGTTTAGGTGCTTCTAAGGAATGACAAGCCAATGTTTTGCCTGTGTCAGAGCTTGTCTGTAAATTGGGTGTTTAATGAGAGCCTGTGCTTGAAATTTGGGGGGTGGAGAAAAGTGCTGCCTTCAGCCAAGCATTAAGCCTTTGAAAAACCAGAGGTCCCCAGTCCCCAGCAGCGCTGCCCAGTAAGGGGGAGCACAGCTCCACTCTGCCCCGGTGCCTCGGAGTGCCTGTGTGCTGTGGGTGTCCAGGAACTGGCACTCGGGATCTTTTTCCAGCTCTTATTCCCCTACAGCTTCTGCTGGCTCTGTGCGTTCAGAGCAGGACTGCCTGGTCCCTGCCGCCACTGCTTCACCGAGGGCTTGGGGGCTGTCACATTGCTCCCACCCAAAAAGAAAACGCAGACGGTGGCTGTGGCGTGGAAGAGTAGCGCGATACGGGTGCGGAATGGGCTGGGGAGGTGGGGAAGTGGCGGAGCTGAAGTGGTGAGCGTGGCCTTCAGTGCTGGATTTGGCAGCCTTTGGGTTCCTCTAACGCAGCCCTTTTGGACGCAGTATTTATTCAAGCAGATGGGATAAGCTCCGTAAGAGTTCAGCTCTTAGGTGACTCACTGTGCCAGATAAGCCGATAATGACGGGCTACGGGATCACTGGTGATCTTGTTTGGGCACCTTAACAAAGCCTCTCCTGATTTTCATACTAATAACAATAAAAAAAGACCCCAAAGCATTTGCAAAGTTGCTCTTGCTAAGATTGCAAAACATTAATGGAGTGGCGAGCGCCTTTAAAGCACGAAATAACACCAAGATGTGAAAGCTTTTCTTCAGTTCCTCCAGACAGACTATACTTTGCTGTAATTATAGCCGTGCTGTAAAGATAATATCTATTATTATAAGTGCCTTTGAACTGAATGCTTTCCCTCCGAGGCTTGCTACATACCCTTCACGTTCACATGTTGGGGTTGGTAAATATTATTCCCATTATGCAGAGGAGGGAGCTGAGGCAGGGGCCGCTTGTTGTTTGTAGGAACCTAAAAAACTGTGTGGCCCAGCTAAAGGCAGGAGGAAAGGGGAGCTGGCCAGGGCTGTAACCACAGCTCCCTGTCGGAACACAGCTCCCTACCGGGCAAACAAAAGATCACGCGTGGTCCCTATCGGCTGTGCCACCGTGGGGCCATCTGCAAAGCCTCTCCCCCCGGCTGAGGGCCAGCAGGGGACAGGGATGTCGCCCCCCACCTCGGCTTCTGCGCTTGCCCCTCCTGCCCTGCCTCCCAGGCGTGCCAAAGCCGAGCCCAGGCGAGCGTGCTGGGGCTGGAGCGAGCTGGGGCCGGAGCATCCTCCACGCGCAGCTATTTTCGGTGATGGAGCAGGCAGCCTCCTAGTGATCCCTGCCCAGCTCCCCTTTTGGCTTTCTCCGGGACGGGGTTTGGCTGCCTGTGCCCTGGGGAACGGCTAAATTAAAGCATTAGCAGGTGCCTCAGACCTCAACGCCCAAAATTTGACAGAGAGGCATCGCTTTTCATTTAAGACCAAGCAGTGCTGATGGCCTTTATAATTACAGGAGAGGCGGGGGACGGTGCCCGGCAGCCATCCAGGCACGCACGCCCGGCGGGATGGATCCGGAGGAATCCCCTTCGCTGCAGCAGCCCAGGGTGAGGCTTTCGATGCTCGGCCCCCGCGCTGGCCGCCCCAAACCCGCGGGCTGGGCCAGCGCCTGGCTTCCCCCCTGGCCACAGCCCTGCTGCCCCCCAGGGTCCTGCCCCCAGGTCCTGCCCCGACGGTGCGTGCCCACGCGCCAGCAGCCGGTGGAGCGTAATGAGGCGCCGTTTGCAGTCGCTAGCGTGGAGCTGCGTAACAGGATGGGTGCTCTCCCTTATTAGGGGCAATTCACGGGTGGATTGCGGTGCCCCAGCAGGTCCGTGCTGCTCGCACCTTTTTCCTTCAGGCTCCCTGCAACTCTGCCCCTCTGCTCTGCTCTGGGGAGACCTCCCCTGGAGCCCTGCGTCCAGCTCGGGAGCCCTCAGCACAAGGAGGACATGGACCTGTTGGAGCGGGGCCAGGGGAGGGCTACTAAAATGCTCCGAGGGCTGGAGCCCCTCTGCTCTGAGGCCAGGCTGGGAGAGTTGGGGGTGTTCAGCCTGGAGAAGAGAAGGCTGCGGGCAGAGCTGAGTGCGGCCGGTCAGGGCTTCAAGGGGGCCCAGAGGAAAGGGGGGGACAAGCTTTTTAGCAGGGCCAGCTGGGACAGGACAAGGGGGGATGGCTTTAAACTGAAGCAGGGGAGGTTTAGACTGGATCTAAGGAAGAAATTCTTTCCAGTGAGGGTGGTGAAACCCTGGCAGGGGTTGCCCAGAGAGGGGGTGGAGGCCCCATCCCTGGGA